TATCTATTGCTGTTCCACGAGGACTTCAGCAAATCACAAATTGAAATGCAGTTTGTGAAGCACAGCAAACAAGAGATAAACACCATTTGCTGAAAAACTTATGTTGTTTTCTCAGAAACAAGATAAAGTGAAGGAAATAATAGGAGGAAACACTAATCAGAAGATGGAAAGTGGTAAGAGGATGACAGTCTAAGTAGCTGTCCAGTTGTAAGGCCAGCCTATCTGGTTTCTCTAGAGGTGTGATTCCCCATATCACACTCAGTCACAACAAAACTATGAGAGAAAGGACTCCAGTGAAATCCCACTCTTCCCTAGAGATGGGGCTCTGAATTCATAGAGCTCGAGGATGGCCCTTGCCCTGCCTCAGTAAATGCCAACCCTATGGATCTTACACGTTTTCAGCACTGAAGAGAGGTATACTTTGGGAGGTTCTCCTATTTAATTCCTATAGGCTGAGCTGGTGACCACTGGTTGCTCTCAAGCATTAAATGTGAATATCAGAACAAATGCAATTCTTAAAGGAATAATTTCAAATCTAAAAAGTATATTTTCATTGCAAGTAAGAGTTAAGATACCTTACAGTTTTACAGGAAATACTTGGGGGTTTTTTACTATTTAAAAGAAACTGTCTTCACCTGAAGAATGGCTTTAAGACATAAACTTTTTATTTAAAAATGTAAAAATAGAACATGCATTCATTAAAAGTAATAAAATATCACAATCTACTGTTGTATAAATTCTAGCTAAACAAAAAGTAATAGGACTGTAGAATAATTATTCTTCTTCATTCTGACTAAAGGACAAGCATTTTGCAGTTAATCAAACAAACTCCACAATAAAGTCAAATTTTATGCAGACAAATCTTTCTGCTGAATGTAATTCTGTTCACTCCATTCAAATACATTATAGTTTTATTACCAATGATGACAAAATTTTGCCACTATTTTACTTTATTTTTCTTGCACTGCAACTTTAATTTTGAGATTGACATCTAATATGTTATGTTGCTTTATCTGTGTAACTCAAACCCAATTTTCTCAATTTCCTTTCTTTTGGGGAAATGTAATTGGCCCATCAAAATGAAAACTCACATACCCATCTCCTTCAGAAACATTTAGTCTTCTGAAATATTTTTTTTTTTTTTTAAATCACCCTGATTTGACAATGTCACTGAAAATCCACTAAGTATGGTATGATTTGGCTTCTTGCAACTCAAACTCAAAGGGGCTTTCTTGGCTGTTATGAAGGGACTAAGAAAAATATTTCCATTTTAAACAAAATATTCATTTCAATGCACCCTTATTTTTATTTGTATGCAATCAGGAGTATTTCTGGAAGATGGGTTAAATTGTTCACTAATTCCATCTCACAGAAAACATGTCCATTAAGTACCCATAATGACCTAATATGACTTTCACAATGATCATCAAACTGAAAACACAAACAGTGTATCAATATATAACAAGACTTGCCTACAATCTGCTGATACAGATATCTACTTCAAGTTTCAAAGGAAATGAGAGATTAGACTTTAATCATATAACTGATCAGTATGATTATAAAAAATCTCATGAACTACTGCTTCACAGGATAGTTGCTGAAAGAAGGGGGGGAATCACAAGATTTGCATTTTATCAACAGAAAATGGGTCACCAAAATGTCATTATACAACACTGATGACAAATTATCTTCTATGTTTCTTCCATATACAGATTTTCATCATTAAGAAATGGAATCGTCCACAGGAATCAGAAGGCTTATGAGATGGCAAACAACTCAAACATGAGCTCTACTCAGCATATCTCATGGGAATAATATTGATATCTCAGCACAGAAAGCATCGATTGGTATGCTGAATGAACATCAGTCTTGAGGAGCAATGCCTATAAATTTCAAACACTTCAATTTCATTCTTTATGGAGTTATCTCATTTGTTTTAATATTTTTCTAAGATAACAGAGAAGCCACTCTTTTCAGAAAAGAAGAAAAAGCTTCTTTTTATGCTTTTACATTCAAAGAAAAAAAAAGTTCCTAGCTGAAAATATATGAGCTGAAAAGATTTTGGAATATAAACAGTTAAACCAGTCATTGTACTAATTAGGAATGAGCAATAATTTGTAAAGACTCATAATTAGATACAGCTTAGCCAAATCTGCCTTATAATGACATAGGGATGTCAATCAGTGACTAATTAGAATGAGAATTTTCTTAAATGTCCTGAATATCTGTACAAGAAGTGAAGAGAAAGTACAAAGAATTAGAATGTATTTAACACAATGTGTTATAGAACTAGTAGCCAAACAAACTCATTGACAAAAGAGTGCAGCAATACACATACTTAGCATTGTATAAATTTGCTGAAACTGATCCACTTGTCCCTCATCTGGGTTTTTGATTAGCAGAAACAGCTAGAAGGAAATCTACCTCCTCACTAAGGACAAGCCAATGAACCGACAGATAACCATATACCAAGCCTTCAGAACTCTTTAACCTTTTTTCCCCACTTTATTCCCCAAGGTTTAGACAGTCAAAAGCTACACAAAAAAAAAAAAAAAAAAAAAAAATGGCAACAAGCATGCTGGCATGAATTATAAAAAAACACCACAGGAATCCTCCTAGAATCTCATTGATACCCTCCCCAATAACCACACCCACCCTGTGTTTATATTACATGAATGGTCTTAAATACAAGATATAAAAAAGCCACTAACATAGATTTACATTTTTAAACTCAGCACAGTCACTAATACTCCAATCTTCACACCTCCTTACCTTTCTGTGTTGGAGGAAAATGATACAGCTTCAGAACTATGAACAGGAAGTTACTTTGGTCTTTTTTCTTAACTGCAGGATACCCAAATCCACGGTATTAGTTCGCAGTGGCATGCCAACATAGTACTAATCACAATACTTTTGGACAGCTGTCTAAACTAACAAGCTTCTTTAATACTTTGTATTCCTTAACCTCTTGCTGCTACTACGCAGGATAACATTTCCACCTAGAGCCCTTTCACAGAATGCCTGGATTCTAGAACAATAACAAAAAATCCCCGATACCTGTTAATACTACCAAACCATGCTGTTCCTATGTAGCTGATCACACCTTACTTTGTCCAGTCTACGTAGGTGTTATTCCTACCTTCTCAAGAGGGAATTTAGAGCAGTAAAAACAGTTTTCAGGGATTTTCTGTTCGCCTAAAAGGAGTAATATCGCTGTTCTGCTGCACACAGATTAGCTATTGTGTGCAGTACTCACTACGTTTCAAGTAAGAAAAGTAAGAAGGTGGCACAGTAGCTGAGGAGTCAATCGTTTAAAGCACTGATCTGAAGGAAAAATCCCAAATCACATTTTGACTAGGATATTTACACAGGAGTAAGGAACAGACTGACGTTAGTGCACCCTCCCGTGTGGTCCATTATGTATCAAAGTAGACCACACCGCAGCTTTACCTTCACAGGGAAGCACTTCCCGGAAAGGGTGTAGCCCCTAATGGAACTACTGGTGCTTTGACTGCAAACAGGAGGGAGACTGACCATCGCTTTTAACTGTGTGGTTTTCACTGGAAGGTAGAAGCTCAGGAAGGTATATCCTTCTCTTCCACCTCCTACTGGATTTTTTTTTTTTTTTTCATGTGGACACAGCTGTTGTTGTTCCTTTACGATGAATAAAATGCAATATGTTTCTTTTCAGGTATATACAGCAGTTTCAGGTGAAATCTTCTTAGACACACTTTACATTATAGACCACCCAATCCCTGATGCGTCACTGTAAGAAGCAGGGTAAGGCTTCAGAACTACTGAGTGTGTGCTTTACAGGTCATGGCTTACCTCCCTGAACATTACACAAACTAATTTTCACTTCCATTCCCTCAGTGCTGTAGTTTTGACTGTGATAAAGACTGCATGGCTCATTTTTATGACAAAGCCACAAAAAAACTGTGTGCTCCTTCCCCCCCACACACACCCCCAGTATTTGGCAAGCAATGGAAGTTTAAATATGATTTATTTTTGAAATGTTCAGACGTTTTCCTTTCTAAATGAGAAGGTCTTCTGAAAGAACAGCATTTTGAAATAGCAGTGTATAACAAGAAAGCACAGCAGTTCTCAGCTTGGCAAGGAAAGCTATAGAGGAAAAAATGCTTAAGAACATTTGATGTTTACTCCAGCAACTATGGGACAGGACTTGCAAAACCATGTAATTTCAGCTCAAAAGACTAAAGAAACGATGTAACGGCAGGTGATTTTCTTGCCTTTGTTTTTCTTCCAGGTATGTTCAGGAGCACCTGCGTGTACTTTGAGCCGCTCCTTTAAACAGGAGGTTTTTACCTTTGCAGAAGGTAAAACAGCGTCTTCTCACACACCCCACACCCCCCAAACTCCCACTTTACTGATGCACGTACTCCAGCGAGCACATCCACCATGGAAGCAGACACAGGTGTGGAAGCATCTCTTCGCTGGTGACAAAGGACTATTGTGTTTGTACCACGTCGCTTGGAGCCCCCCCCCCCCGGAGGACTCCTGTCCCCCATCACAAGGCTCTCAGCCCGGCGGGGGATGCTCTTCCCGGAGGGGGTGTGATGCTGGGCTCGGCGCGCCCCCCCCTCCACCCCCACCCCGCCCTGACTAGGGCACCCTGACCCCCCACCCCGGCAGGCGGGGATCGCCGCCCGCCGCTCACTCGAGAGACTTCGAGGGGGGAGCCGGGGATGGGGCCGGCTTGGGAAGGCTGCGGGTGGGGGGTGCGTGTGGTCTGCTGCGCCCCGTCCTGCCGCCTCTCGCTCCCCGCAGTCCCCTCTCCGGGGGGGCGCACGGCGGGGCGGGGGCGCAGCCCCCGCGCTGCGATCTCCTCTCCCCCCACACACCCCCCGCTCACCACGGCCGCCCCCCGAAAGTTACTCTGCCCTGACGGACGGGCTCCCCGCGGCCGCCGCCCCCGACGGCACCGGGGCGGGGGGGGGGGGGGGGTGTGGGGTGTGGGGGGGTGTTCCCCCATCGCTTACCTGGCGGCTGCCTGGGCGCTCTCTCACGGCGAGCGGCGGCGGGGCGCGCCGCAGCCGAGGCTGCCTCTGCCGCCACCTTCACAGCCCCCTCCCGAGGTGAGCGACGCGCGGGGCGGCGGCGGGGAGCAGCCGGGGAGCCGTGACATTTAACCGGGCGTGAGCAGGGTCGTTCCGGCCCCGCGGCGCAGGCGGGGTCGCCTCTCCTCCCCGGCGGGCTGGGGCGGCCGGTCACCGCCCTCCTCACCGCGGGCAAGCTGAGGCGGAGGGCGAAGCCCAGTCCATCCCCGGAGACCCAGCCGCAGCGCGCTTGCCCGAGCTGCCGGCGGCTTCTCTCCTCCCGCCTGGTAGTCGCGCCGCTGCCCCTTCCCTGCGGCGGGGCGGGGGGCGCGGCAGCCGCAGCCGGGCGGCGGGAGCGAGGGCTGGCCGCCTGCCCCTCGGCGGGGCCCGGCACTGGGGGGGACGGCGGTGGGGCGCGGTAGCGGGCGGGCGAGCTGCGGGCGAGGCGGCAGCGCCGGCAGCGCGGGGAGGCAGCGCCAGCTCGAGGTGAGGGCGGGCGGAGGGGGGGGGGGGGGGGGGGGGGGGGCGTCTCTGTCAGAGGCGGAGCGGCTCCTTCCGCGCCGTGGCTCGCGCAGCGGCGAGTCTCGCCGAGGCGGCGGCGGCGGCACCTCGGGGAGGCGAAGCGCTGCGCAGAGGGGCGGGAGTCCCAGCTCCCACCCCGGTCGCTGTCGGGCTGCGGTGTGGAGCCCCCACCCCCCCCACCCCAGCCGCGCCGTGGGTAGGCAGCCGTCCGGCCGTTTAGCGTCCCCCCACACCCCGCTTCCCCGCCGTGAGGGGGGGGCCTCTGCACCCCCCCCCCCCCCCCGCCCCTCGCGGTGCCCCCTCCTCCCCTGCGCAGGCGGTGGCGCGGTCGATCCCCGCCCCAACCCTGCTCCCGCCCCGCCGCTTCCCGGGGAGAGCGGGGACTGCAGCGCGGTGCGGGGACACGCCGCGGAGGTCGGAACGCACACAACCCCCACACGCACACGCACACGCTTCCGTGGGGTTCCGCGTTTAGGGATGCGTCTCTCTCGGGGGCCGCGTGGCTGGGCGGCCATTTCCAGGGCGGCGTGGGTGCGGGTTGGCGGCGGGCGGGGGCCCCACGGACCGCGCTGCCACCGCCCCCGCCCGACGGCACCGCTCGGGGCAGCGCCCGGCAGCCGGGGGAGGGGCCGTGAGGGAGAGGGGGGCAGCGTCCGAGGGGGCACCGGCTCCTCGGGGAGGCCCCGGGGGGGGTGCCCGGCCGGAGGGCGTGTGGGGGCTGCGGAGCAATGACGGTCGCCCTCGGCGTTGCGGTTCCGCAGGTGGCCGCGTCCGAAGCCTCCCCGAGCCCGTGCCGTGGCGGGGAATTTGGCCGCGTCGGTGGTGCGAGGGCATCTCCGGCCCCTGGGCCGCCTGCTCGGCTTATTGCGTGGTGCTGGAAGAGCTGTCGCGGCTCCCGTTCCTCCCGGCGTTTGCAGCGTGCCGCGTGGTTTCTGGAGCTCGGTATCCCACGCGTTCTGTCCTTCGCACACTTTGAAATAGTTGCGTTTAACACTTTTTTTTTTTTTTTGGGGGGGGGGGGGGGGGGGGAGTGGGGAGGGATGTGGAGTGTCAGTTTCGTCTTGAGTAATTCGGGAGCAGCAACGCCAGTTCCCTAAGATGACTCTAAGAATGATCTTTTATTTCTTTTCAATTTTTTTTTACCCACAGCAAATCACATCCCTGTCTGTAGAAACCTGGCTGGAGGCTGCAATACTCAGAAACCTGCGTATTATAAAACCAATGAAAAATTGGCACATTTAAGGAATTTTACCAGTAGGAGCACTGATGTGAAAGTTACAAATAATTGAATGATAACTGTGAGTTGCTCAGTTTTTTGGCACTCTGTCTTCACTTTCACACATGTATAAATGTGCGTATATACAGTTTGCATAGCTTTTCACTAACATAGCAGGGTAGAGGGTAAATGAAAATACACATAATCACATTCTTCAAAACTCAGGCACAAGTTTGATTAACAATGGAAGACTTAGAATAAAGGAAGCAAACACAACTGAAACGTAGTTACTTTTTCTTTTATTACCAATGTTTTGTCCAAGGTTTTGTTTTGTTTTCAAGGTGCATCCCAAGCAGTAGCCCTGGTAGCCATACTTCAGAGTTAAGAAAACTCTTCTCTTTACAGCAGAAGCTTTTCCCTTCAAATTGCAGTCAGTTTCTGTATTCATTTCAGTGCTATAAAGACTTCCTGTTTTCTTTTGTTTCCACCTCTGGCATAAGCAACCCAAATGACGATGCTGACACCAAAGAAGAGCAGCTAGCTCACTTTAGCCTCTAATAAATAGGAAGCTAAAGAGCAGTATCTTGACCTTGTCTCTGTGTCCAGCGGTGCTGTAATACATGTAATGCACTCATCAGTAAAAGGAAGCACTGCTAATCCAGAATCACATGCCAACCACTTTATCCACACAGGGGAACTATGGCTTATATTACATTATATGGGATATCGTAGGATTGAAGAGAAACATTAGGAGGGAATAACCCATAATAATATGACTGAGAGCTCCTGCAAAGTCTGGAGAAGAACCAGGAGTAAACTATACCCTGTGAAACAATTTTCATAAAAAACACTCTTTTGTGCACCTATTGTGTGGATTCAAAAGCAATTGACTCCTTGACTTTTTCAAATAAACCCAGTGTTGGAAAGTGCTGACTGCATGGTACAGGGTTCCTTCAAGTGGTTTCAGATTGGGTATCCGAAGCTGTTACTACTAGGACCCAGCTGTTGAGCTGTAGTTAGTTACAAAAAAAAAAAAATTTTGGAAACATTACTATGATTTCTGTTGAGTGCTAGTAATACAAAGAGATCGCTGTTCTGAGGAAATTACACTGATGTTTTCATACCTGGTGGAAATTTTATACTGCATATAGAAGTATCTAAAATTTGCCAGTTAAGTGTAATTTTTCTGCAGGTTTATAAACAGCAAGATAAAGTACTCCATCTACTCCAAGAAGTGTACTGACAACAAGATAAATGGGAGTCTCTCCTGGATACTGCCACCTCGTGAGTGTTCTCTAAGTGGAAGATAAAGCAGGATAGCTATATAGAGACTGAATTACTACAGACTGAAAACAGAAGCAGGAAAATACTAAGGCTATCACTGTACCCATCAGGGTTGTTTTTGAAGTAAGGAGATGCTACAAGTGAAATTTGAAAAATAAATGTCTCTTAAACTTTGCAGTAATTTAGAGACTGAAACTCAAGGAGAGCAGATCACCAAAGGGAACTTCATCAAATGATCAAGCAATAGAAAATGTTTAAGCTCTCTACAGCATCTCATCAGTCAAATCTCAGTTGTGATGACGAGTTCAACGCATTGTGAATCACAAGGGAAGCTTCTGCAGTAGGGTACTGAACCTTACTGCAGATTGAAAACCTTGCCATTTCCTTTCAGTTGTAGGTATTTGGCTTTCATAAGATCTGGAACAACAACGCACAACAGGAAAACTAATGTTTCTGTACTGCTGGCCATACAGTCAGGTCTCCATATAAAAACGGGAGCTGAGGAGACTTTTTTGCTGTGGGGAATTATGTGCATAATGCAATCTAAAAGCATTTTTCAAAGAGCCATTAGCTCTTTAATTAGAAAGGGCCTTTGAAAGGGTGTTGTACTTCCTTTTTGCTGTAAGTTCGGGAGAAGGAAGGAGAAAGCAGATCACAGCTATACTTTCTTTGCAATTAACTCTGAAAATGTAGTTCCTATAGAAACAAAAATGATTATGCATTTACCTTCAACTATCATAAGTAAAGATTACAATGCCTCTTCAGATGAAATTAACTAACCTTCGAATCACTGATCATTTAGCAAGAAGTATAAAATGTATCAAAAATACTGCTATATTTGATTTGTAAACATTTCCTCCAGTCACCAGTCTAGGACTCTGAGGTTTCTATAGTAAGAATTCAGACTTTTAAAAGTGCTTTTACTATTGTTTTGGGTATCTGCAGTGTTCGAATCTATAAAAAAACTTAGGAATCTCTGAAGAGTTGGGCTTACCACTCTGTTCTCATGTTTTCTTTGCCCCAGTTTTTAGCATATTATTTGGCATCTAAGTAGAATGAAATCATAGGCCAAATCATAATTTGGACCTTATCATAAAGTGTGCCTCTATCTCTAAACAAAAGGAAAAATAAGGAAAAAAATGGTTTAGCACCCACAAACGCATATCAGCGTGCGGTTTAAATTTTTCAAAAAGTACTTTTGACGCTAAAATGTGTCAAACATTTTGAAAATACATTTTTTTAAAAATGCTGCTTACATAATCAGTGGCAATTTCTTGAAAAAAATTAAAATGTTTTGAAAGATTACTTTTACCATGTAAAATTATTCCTAACCTTGAAGGAAAACTCAAAAAACAACTTGGAAATCAAAGATTGGTTTTACATGTAATAGTTTTTACATTGCCACCATTTTTATTCAGCATCTAATACCTTCTTAGTTCAGCTGTTTTTACATACGCATCTCCTCCATTTGACTGAGAAATGGTTTGAACGGAATTCACAAATGTTCTGTTGAGTTAAAAGTTGATCAGTAGATTTAAACGAAACCCTTCATCATTCATTTAAAGCCCACACTTGCAGTTTCTCTATGTGGAGAGTGAAACCTGTGAACAGTGGCTAAATCCCCTAAGTCCAAGGGCAAGCCCATCAGGGCTGCATAGCTCTCCCAGCTGTGATCAGGGAGCATTGCCTAGCAGAGCTGATGGAGGTGGGACTGTTGCCATCCGTGCTGGGGGTGACATTCCTAGTTTGCTGAATGAGAACCTGTGCAGGAGGTAGGATTGCTACACGTTTGGGACCCACATTTTTGTGACCAGGTAGACATATTTTAGAATTTGGTGACATGAGGCATGCTGTGTGAGAATCAACACAGGCACATAGGTGTGTGTTCAAATCATGATGTTTACAAAAATAATACGTTTCTGTAGTTCTGCATAGCTTCTGTGCATGCTGCAGTAATGGGAACTCCTGAGTTCTAGCCATACCAGTTTTCAGTATGGTAGGCAACCCCCCCCTTTGTCCAACCATTGCTCAGTGGGGAAGGAGTTTTCATAAAATATATGTGTGTATATATCAATACTTACCGCTAATAAGTTCATACCCAATACTCTGTTCTTCTTTCATCACAGAGGTGAATGTTTCACCATACTAGATTTTTAATCACCTATGAGTTGTTGCCGTTTTATTAAGCTATACTCAGCAACCATGAATTATGTATTTAGAAACTACAAATCAGAAATTCTATTTTCATTTTTTAGAGGACACCAAATAATTCTAGAGGAGAAGCACTTTCTCTTAAATACCAGTAAGAGTGCTAGTAAAGTAAAACTACTGTTTATTTACTAATCATCCAGTTCCCAAAAGCTGGAAGATAAGCTTTTTTATTTTATTTTTTCAAAGTCAGAAAAGCCAGAATTACATGCATCTCTGTCTGCACAGAAATGATACATTGTCTTCTGTGCTTAATTACCCATCTTCTCTTTATTTGTTCAGAAGCAGGATCACAGCAAATGTAAACTCTCAAAAAGGTGAAGTTATGATGTATGTTCATCTGCTTAGCTTATAGATTATGGCCATACACGAGCAGTATGTACTTCCATTTTATTTGAAGATTACACTAATGTTGGAAGTAGAAGGACTGAGAAAAGCACAGAACTATTCTTAAATCAGAATCATTTGAAATCTAGCTGAAAGAAAACTAGCTTATCATTTTCTTCAAATAATGTTTTCTGGTTCTTATTCACTGTTGCTTTACTTCAATTTCTATGAAAAGTATGATGTCAATAGCATTAAGAGAGTGTAATTTACCAGTGTAAAATAGGAGTATCTCACAGGTGAACCCAACCTGCATTTTCTAAAGTAGCATTTTCTCTCAGTGATTTCAAAGGCCAGCTACAGAACACTCATACTCTACTAAGGAACAGGATATAGCTATCGCTGCGGTTCAAAAGCTGCTTTAAATGATAAAATGTTATTTAGGGCTAATTTTAGCAAAGTTCTAGTATTTGTCATAAAGAAGAAAAAGCAATAATTTTATTGACAGACAAGGAATAAAATGTGTGACATCATTTGTCATTTGATGAAAAGAGGGCAGTTTAGGTGGGCAGCTTAATGTCAGTAGTATGTACCATTTACTTCCAACATTTATTTGACATCGTCTTTTGGCTTCTTTTTAAACCTTGATATAGTTGTTAGTTAACCTATTAGTACTTTTACTTACAGTACATGTATGCAATTTGAAGAATATGAGCTACATACGAGAAAGTATGTTGTGAACATAAACTAACAGAATGTGCATTGTGAATAAATGAAAGTCTCAAGTATGATGGCAGCCAATAAATGCCTGAGTCTAAATTTATCATCTGGTAGAAACAAGGGACTGTAGCAAGAATTTACAAATGCTGTAATTAATAAACACAATTTATTTTCAGTGATACCTGAAACTTACATTCAAGTAAGCATCAATTTTTTGTCAGTATTTCACTGGGTATTATTTGAGCTATTAATTTTAACAATAGTATCATGCATTCAGAACCGTTTCTGTAACCCAGAACCATTTCTGCCATCATCAAGATTCTTCACACAGAGGTGGAAATATTCCAAAAACATCAGTGCATTACATAGTAATCCCATGTACATCGACTGCAGACATCAGAAAGTCAAAGGCTTGTGTCACTTGGTAAACAAAGTCACAGTCTGGTGTATTCCCTTTATATTTTGAATGGGTAGGAGCAATAGCATTCCTTTCCCTAAGCAGCAGGATTCCTATGGTAGTGAATTAAATAGTCCTGGGGGTCATCCTGTGGCCTAGATGGCAGCTAAAATGGTCTGGCCACACTCCTACTATCAAACTCTCACAGCCTGCAAATGAGAGTGGCCACATCCAAATGCTGTGTGGTCCCAGAAATCATCTGGGAGGTTGTTGGTCCAGACCAAAACGAGGCCAGTTCCCAGTCTCTCCTCCCTGAAGATGCAGCTGATCAAGTTCCAGTGCCTGTATCCTTAGACTGCTTATTTTAGCACTTCATATGCAGTCCTTCAGCTTCTGTTTACTTTACAAGTTGCATGGATGAAATTCTTAAAACCTTCAGTAAAATTTGTCATGTGACTCTGTGGTTTGACTGTGAGGTACCAGATGGTGATAAATAGAAAATAGGCTTTGTTGCAGTTCCGTAATTGAAAGCCAGATGGTGTTACTAAGGCTGATAAAAGGAAAACAATAATATATCCCTACCCTACTCTGCTTCAGATTTCCAGCTACTGCTATGGAGCTGAAAATCCATCTGTTCAGACATTACTCATGCTATATCATGCAGCATTTCTGGATACAAATTTCTAAAACTGCAACAGGTGCAAGCACTTGCAAACTTGTAAGTTTCAAAGTACATTAATGTAATATTTTTAAATCCATTTCTGTCAGCAAATTAAAATATTTGAATCTCTACAACTAATTGTAACTCTACATCAACTTGTATTTTATACAGGGACACAAATCCTCAACATTAACTGAATAAAATGGAACTAATCTAATCGGAGACTAGTCACCTAGGAATAATATGGTTTCACATTTAATGTAATGAAATCTGAACTTTTTTCTATAAATAGGTCTAGAAAATGGTAATTCTGCTATTTCAAGTTTGTCAGTTCTTTATTAGAGAATTTATCTGAGTTTACTGATTCGGTTTCTTTTGCATGAGAAAGTTTGCATCAGTCATTTGTGGTTGCATCACCAAAGTAATACAGTGTTTGTAGACATTAAACAGAAGTTAGAGTTGGCAGGGAATCAGTATGACAGAAGAAACAAAAATATGTTCTCCTAGCAGAAAATATTTTGCTTAATATTTAGGATTATGTTAATTTTAATAAATAAATTTGTAACTCAAGGACAGATAAATAACTGTCTACTTTCATGAACTCATTGGTGGTGTTCTTATTCACAAAAAGGGTATGAACGTTGTGTATTTATCTACAAATCTAGATATTGGAAAATTTTTCTGGATGTCCTAAAAATTGCACCCGGTGATTTTAATTTTAATTTTTTTGTTTTATTTGGTGCTGTAAAAAGGGGAGGACTGCTGCAATCCTGTACAATCCAGGACCTGTGATGAAATTCGCCCTTGCTTGAATGTTTTAGGCACATACTCTATGTGAGGCAAGAGCTAGCTGCTGGACTACACTGTGTTGCCTTTGCAGGAGCATGTGCTAGGTAATATCTTGGTGTGTGTTTTCAACTTTGGCATCACCAGCGAAGAAGCTGCTTGGATTATATCAGCTGGACACTCAAGTATGTTTTGCAGTGCTCCAAACAAAGATGCAAAGTAAATTCATACCTGCAAAGAGTCCCTTCAGTAATTTGATTTGTTTATGTAGGTGTGTACACCTCCCAAAGGATTTATAACAAAATAAATTAGAACATTTCAAAAAGAAATTCTTTGATGTTGATAAAGGAATGCCGTTGGCTGTATACTTATATGTACTCTTAACTGGACTAGAGTTTGTACAATATTTAAATACTCAGATGTTTGGGCTCATGGCCCAGATTTGAAAGAGAATGTTGTGTAATTTGTGAATAAGGTAAGCAGAATTGCCCTTAGCTGAAGAAGGATATCTTGCTCAAAATTTAGGAATCCCCCTTCTCTCCTACCCAGCTCACCTAGTAATTTTTGAAGTGAATAGGCCAGGCTCAAAACCCAAGGTTGCCTAAACTGTCAGCAAGTCTGCACCTAGAAAGACTGACCTTCATCAGCTAATTACTTTGGTGTCTTCCAGATGCAACATATCTAGTTGAAATAACACGTGGTGACAAGTTCATATAGCTGTGCTCAGATATCGGTCTCTGCCTATGAGTAAGGCAAAACCTCTTTTTTTTTTTTTTTTTTTTTCTTTGAATTGCTAATGACAAGCTAGATCTTGTTCTTCCTGAAACTTCTCAAAGGCGGGGGAGAAAAAGTATTCCATATTTTGAATTTTGCTGCCTGGAAGGAGATGGAATGTTGATGACCCATTTAGTGGCAATTACCATTTAAATCCCACACCTAAGCAGTGATTCTGTCTTGCATAGAATTTCTTAAGTAAGAGCTACTCTGTGACTTTGTATCAGAGAAGTTACTTATGAACTTTTGAGAATATTTGCCATACTCAACTGTTCTTTAATATCTCTATACGCATGCAGATGCAGAAAGAAACTTGAAAGAACACCTTAAATGGCCATATGGGATATGATGAGAAATAGCAACATATCATTTAATACAAGAGTTTCTTACAATAATTGTCAAAGTAATTTCAATTGAACCTTGCAACTATGTACAACATTTTCTAAAGCAACATTACTTTAAAAATTCTTTAGCAAATAACTGTCTTTCACATATGTTGACAAGCTCATTCATCACTCTGGATTTACTGGGAAAATGGCAGAGTAATCAGGAAAGAGACTTTGGAGCTACATTTGAGTAACTTCTTTGTTCACAGAGGTGGTGTAGCCATGTGAAATTCATGAAGGCTATGAGTCAATCAAATAATTTTGTTATACATGTTCTGTCACTCTGGCTGACTGTATGTAGTATTTGTAAAAGTCCTGTATTTTCAGAAGTTACTGACTTGCAGTCCTTCAGTGTTTTCACTAAGTACTAAGGACTAGTCTTTTGAGATATACTTACCATTTAAAAGTCTAATCAAGTAGAACACTTAGAGCTTGAAATGTTCAACATTGTTAGCTGTTATGGAAGGATTAGATGACTCCTGTGCATGGATGCATATTCCCTGTGTATGGTATTACATACCATAGCCTAGAATGAAAGCAGGTTTCATATAAAAAAGTCATACTGGTCATGAGTGGTAACACTGCCAGCAAGGTAGAGATAGATATGGATCCTACAACAGTGCCTGCAATGGTTAGAGGAAAGTTTATCATGCCAGATTTAAGAGCCCAGAGGAGACGAGGCTGCTGCAGCTCCATGTCCCCAGGTCCAACCAGCAGCATGACCAAAGATGTATTCACAGTGGCACACACACACACAGAGCACACATATATAGCATGTATATATATGTATAAGCAGCCACACAGATCACAGACAAATATTCCCTCTCCTGCTCCCCTCTGGCTGAGTATGATGGAGGTTCACTAGGGAGAACATATATGTATATATGTATGTATCCATACATGTATACACGTAAAAGGCGAGTCCTACCAGCAGCTGGGCTCAGACTGTCAGTCTGCCCAGTAGCTGCCCTGAAATCCCAGTCTCTCCAGTTGCTGTCACCTGGACACATGGACCCCTCCAGCAACTGCTGCAGACTGTTGTGCACAGATACACATTCACACACACACCCCCAGAGCCAACCAGGACGCCCCTTCTCCCACAGCCAACCCCACTGCGCTCTTGCCCCTAGGACAGACAGATGTTCTCACCCCCATAGCTGGACTGTGGGGACCCACTCATCCCTCGCTCCCAGGCCATCTTGTATACTAACTGGCTTGTCCGCCTTGATCCTTGCTAGTGATCATGCACTCGCTCTCACACCCACGCTGCTCCAGTCACTAGCATCAATGGCACAATCACACCCTGACCCTGTGCTTGTGCAGATGGGCCTGGGCTGGTGACTCCTGTGAGGAGGGCAGGGTATTATTTGGGCTCACCCTTCTGTGGATGCGTTTCTGTGCTCTTTTTGGGATGTGCAGACAAGCTTTTATCATGTAATCTAGCACTTTCATTTCATGTCTATATGGTACCTCTTGTCAGCAAGGCACGAATGCAAGGCAGAACAGCAGAGCACCACAAGCAGTCAGTGCATTTTGAGGGGTCCAGAGGGAGCAGTGAGGGAGGAGAACCCAGACACAAGGTTATAAGGGCCAGTAGCCCATGAGGTTTTGGGGGAATCCAGCCTGTTAGAAACAAGCCCTGGCTCTGTTCCATGATCTGAAATTATCTGTGTTGTTAGAGGAAAAATACATCCATCTGTTCCCAGCCCCTGCAAGTTAACAGCTTTTCTTGCCCATATAACTATATTTTTTTTAAAAGTCCTGGTTTCATGCTTGTAAGATATACAAGTGCTAACTACCCTTACTAAAGTTGCTCCTAACAAATGCTGACAGAAAATTGATCATCATCATAACCAACAAATATTCTTCACAGGCCACATACAGCAGAAAAAAAAGTCTTCCCAAACCTGTCACCAAGTTTTAGATATATCTTGTATTCTGCCTTAAAACAGTGCTCTCAGCATAAACCCCACTGAGCAGGGCTCAGAGAGAAAGAAAAATTGAAACTAATATGTGTAATGTATTTTTAAAAGATTATATAAAATTTATTTTCTAGACATTAATATGCCATAATGTG